CTACCACTACTACTGCTACTACTCCTGCTGCTGCTCCAACCTTAAAGAAGCCCTGAAGTCAGATAATCACGGCTTGCGAGTAGAGGGTTGCTGGTGAATTTTGGCCTGGGCTAAACTTTGGGGCTAACCTTCAAACTCCAGATGCGAGGTCCCCCACCCTGAGAAGCCGGTCAGGAGGAAGATTGGAAAGTACCTCCAGGGTTTAGAGCTGGAGGCTCTCGGGGTTCGTAGGGTTCGGGGAGGGTGGACTAAGAATTCAGGGTGTGGATATCTGTTGCTGGGCTCAGAGTGTAGAGTACCTGCTGAATGCCACGATCCTTATTGCTATGCGGTTCGTTGTTGCATGACGTACTCTTTGTGAGCCTCTACTTTCCCAACATGCATTCTGGGCGGGTCACGACTTGGACTCGATGGAGGAGCACCAGTTCCTGAAGCGTGCGGCAGGCCCCAACTTTAGATCTACCAAGGACAAACAGAGTGGCACTGATAGGATGGAAGGAAAGAGCGCTTCAAGATGAGTGAAAATCAAGACAGGTGAAATGTAACAGCGGCAACGGCACCTCCTGCAAGGCATACCGCGTGCTTGCTTACTTGAGTACCTTATCGTTCCCTTCCAGCTTCGAGACTTGCTTGCTTACTCACTTACGTACCTCCTTCTTCATTCCTTCCTTCCTGCCTCCTTCCCTCGCTTCGTTCCTTCCCGTGTCCTTCCTCCCGTCCTTCCTTACTCACGGTGGCGACAACGAAGTCAACGGAGCCATCCGACTGCCCTGCGGGTCCTCCCTCACAGAATGGAGGATAGAGAGGAGTGCCCAAGTCTCCCGTGGCTTAGGCTGCAGGCAGCCTACTTAGTAACTTGGGGCTCCACGTTTATCTAGAGTCTAGAGACTTAAAACGGAAGGGTGGTGAGGTGAAAGGTACATTCAGGGCGTCAGAGTTTCGAGGATGAGAGATATTTTTAGGTGCAAGTCGATGGGCTTGGGTCTGAGTGGAGGGTTGTTCGGACCTCGGGTCACCAGAGCCCCGAAACCATCCTCTATGCCATAAGCCGGATCTTCCGATGTGACATACATCGCATATGGCTCGAGGATTTCATGAGCTACCTTTGTATAGGGTTCCTGAATCCTAAAAACTGTAACTAAACGCTACGTCCTAAACCCTAAACCCTACCTGCTAAACCCTAAACCCTACGTCCTACACCCTAAATGCTACGACCTAAACCCTAAACCCTACGTCCTAAACCCTAAACCGTTCTGCTTCGATGCTCGGTTGCTTGGAGGTTCATGGGTAGTTTTATGTCCCCTAATATAGGTTACAACTATCGTTACCCGACTTATAACCCTACTTATAACTACCCATGAACCCTAAACCCCATAGATTCCGTAAAGGAACCCTACACGAGCCATGAACCCAAAACCCTAAACCCTATAGTATTCCTTAAAGGAACCCTACGTAGAACTACCCATGAACCCTAAACCCTATAGATTCCTTAAAGGAACCCTACACCCTAAACCCTGTATTTAGATTCCTTAAAGGAACCCTCCAAGTGGGGCCCCCCCCGCAGAGAGCCGAGGTCGAAGCCAAGCCGAGGTGAGGCGCCCATCAATGCAGGAGCCTCGGAAGCCAGGGGTTTAGGGGTTTAGGGGTTTTGGGGTTTAAGGGTTTAGGGGTTTAGGGCCTTTAGGGCAGTAAGGGTTTAGGGGTTTAGGGGCTTAGGATTTAAGGGTTAGGGTTTAGGGGTTTAGGGTTTAGGGGCATCGAGGCCTTTGGGATTAAGAGTTTAGGGTTCAGGGATTCGGAGATCAGGGTTTAGGGCTTATCTCACGACTTCAGGCTCAAAGAGACTAATCGATACAGAACCACTGAAACTGAAAAAAAACGTCCAACCTCAGTTCCAAACGGGGGAAGTTGCTCTCACCGGCTCCGCGTAGAAGGTACCACCCAAAGGAACAACACTGGTAACTCTAGTACCTAACTTATTGGCCGTTTACTACACTACTCCTGCACCAAAGTGAAATTCCGAAACGAACCTCAAAACCGTGCACCGGGTCTTGTCTCAAGAGGGTGTCTAAAACAGGGCTTGCATAGACACCAGAGGATCTATAACTATTGCTGTCACTACCTCACCCTAAACGCTAAAGTCCGACTCTTATGCCGTCCTGCATCGAAGAAGTTGTCGGCACCGCTGCCATCGAAGGCGTGCTTGAAGAAGTCCGCCAGGATCAGCCTTCAGTTGGGGTTGTAAAACAACCCCGTATAAGTTTCCCTATACCGGAGTTGGGTTATCGTTTTTGTATTTCTGGTCATCGTTTTACCAACCAAAACAATGAATCTTGATGTTAGTACAACTTTAGTACTGGAAATGCCTCGTTCGAGGTCCTGTGCTTGGTTGTAGTGCAACTCTAGTACTGGAAATGCCTCGTTCGTAGTACTGGAAATGTCTCGTTTGGGCTCCTGGCAGACTGTGCTTGGTTATAGTGCAACTTTAATACCTGGACACGCCTCTTTTTGGCTCCTGGCTGGATGGTGCTTGGTCGTGGTACAACTTTCGTACTGGAAATGCCTCGTTTGGGGTCCTGGCTGGATTGTGCTGGAGTGTAGTACGACTTTCGTACTGGAAATGCCTCGTATGGGGTCCAACTTTAGTATTGGAAATGCCTCTTTTTTGGTTCCTGGCTGGGTTGTGCTTGGTTGTAGTACAAAACTACAGTTGCTGGAAATGCCTCGCTTGGGGTCCTGGCTGGATTGTGCTGGCTTGCAGTACAAAACTAAAGTTACTGGAAATGCCTCGTTCGGAGTCTTGGCTCCTGGCTGGGTTTTGCCATAACTATGGCATTGTCGTGTCTTTTGACTTTTTGTCATTTCGCAAGGTGAACATGATGCAGTAGTAGCCGCCATGCTGGACCACTTCATAAGCATTATTTTCTTGTCATCTTTTTCCACAGAAATGATTGAAAAGCCAAGCAGGGACAGGCTAAAACTAAACACTGAGGTACGGGGTTATAATACAACCCTGTTGAGAAAGCATCGGGAGTTGGGGTTTAAGTTCAACCCTTGGCCCTAATCCATACTATACTGACTTACTGCTTGCAGGCGCCTACAGCCGAGGCTTCTCTTCGGGCTTGCCTGAACACGAATCAAAAATCCTCGACCCTAACAGCCAACGCAGAAGACACCTGTAAAGCCCCCCCCCCCCTTCAAGGCTTGAAATCGAAATCCTACACCCCATGAAACCCTGAACCCTCAACCCCGGGTTTAGGGTTTAGGGGCATCCTAAAGCCGAATTCCTAAGCCCTAGAGGCCCTAAGCGCAGCGAGGCCCCCGGCTTCTGCAGCTTCAAGACTCCCCCGAAAGAGTCAACGTACGTCTGAGGCAACGAGGGGCTGAAGGCGTCCCAGGACTTAGGGACTCTTTGTTGAATAGGATTTTGGGGTTTGGGTTTAGGGTTTAGGATAGGGTTTTGGGGTATGCTTTCTTTTTCCGGATTTCATACGGGTTCTATAAGGGTGTGGGGGGCTATAGGGGTTTTGAGGGCGTGAGGTTTTAAAGTGTAGCAGGAGGGTTCGTTGGAGAGTGTGTTCATGTTTTCGGCTGTCCGGGTTTTGTAGAACTTTGAGCTCGGGACTTGGACCGCTTGGTGGAGGTAGGGTTACAGGAATTCCGGCACAGCAGTTGGAGTTCAAACACGAGTTGTAGGCGAAGTTTGCGATTCAGGTAGCAGACTTCCCAGGACTCCAAGCCCAAAAAAATTACAGTAAGGCTCCAGGCGCTTTCCCGACCACGGCCCTTCAACATCCCAGGCCTGACAGACCCAAATTCGCAAAATCAATGATTCGCTGGCACGTTGCTATAAATCCCATACAGAACTCAGAATCAGAAGTGAAGTCGAATAAAGGTCTCGAGCCTGCAAAACTGCAGCGGTGGTCACAACCACACCAATAGTTCGTGGCCCTTATCGAGACCCGGTTACTGCGAACCTTTTGCAAAACCACCCCGTCCACAACCTTCATGAACCTTTTCATGCCTTTGCAAAGCCCTACATTACGACAACACCCTTACAAGAACCCGAGAAGGAATCCCACTGTATGGTAGCATAGGAGCCCTGTCAAATAAACCCTAAACCCTAAACTTAACCCCTAATCCTAAACCCCTAAACCCCTAACCCCTAAGCCCCTAAGCCCCTAAACCTTAAACCCCAAAGGAAGCCCTAAAGGGGCCCCTAAACCCCCACCCCAGGGACCTTCATCCCCAGGGAGCTTTTGCTCAACTCGGGAATCTTCTCGATGGTCAGGACCTGCCGATAGGGTTTTAGGGTTTAGGGGTTGAGGGGTTTAGGGGTTTAGGGTTCAGGGGTTTAGGGATATTAAAACAGACGATACATGCACACATATCTATAGCTGCACACTTCCGGAGTCGCCGGCAAGATGTGACAAGTTGACGCTAGGCTTCCGGCAAGAGGTCCCAGAAATCGCGGTACCTGCGTTGCACGGCAGCCAGTCATCACATACAAAACCCGTTGCAAGCTGATTAACGTACTGTCACCAAGCATACACAGGGTTGGCCTGGATGTACTTGTCAATGAACATCAGGGACTCAGCATATTGGATTGCAGCGGCTGGGATCTCAAACCGTTGCATATGCTCCACGATTGACTCACAGACCAATGAATGTGTCAAGGGGCAGCAGCACAGAGACAGTGACACATGCCTGCTGTCTCACAAGAGATCGCTCAACAGAAACTTTAGCGCTTGAAAGGAGAACAGGATCATTACGCCTTTCACTCTCCGGGTGTCGGGCATTGGGCACATTGTGGTCGCCAAGATGCACGATGCTAGAGCCCACCCAACCTGGCTCGTCTCATAGTCCGAGTGTGTGTGTGTGTGTTCATTATTGCGAAAGCTTGCCGACAAGTGCTTGCTGCCTCCAACCTTTTGCTGGACATCGGCGAGGATCTTCTGCCTCATTCCAATGCAAGCCAAAAAGGTCATAGAGGAGACTCAATGCTCCCTGCAGCAACACCGGGAAGCTGAGGGCATCGTGACCGGTCTCCAAATCTCAATGCTGTACAGTCTGGGCATAGTACACACAGTCGAAGAATCAAAAGGAGCCGGCCCTACCACACACAGTCACACTATGACTCCCAATGTTAGGTGTCAAGCTCTCTTTCGGAAGCAAGATCTGGACCAAAACCCCAACTCCTAAACCGTCCCCAAATCTGGCGTTCCAGCTTTTGGTGCCCTTGTTGCTGCAGCCGACTCAGCTGAGACCCCGGGCATGGCAAAGACGCTCCGAACTGACTTCTGTACCTGGGCTATAACATGTTACATAATGTCCACTCTTGATTAGCAAAACCCCCCTGATTAAAGGCATCCCTCGCGTTCCGCGGACCTGGCTGAAAACATGTTCTAAAGGCACTGGCCTCTTCCACAAGAGCCCCCCCCCCTGGGCACTGAAAAGCCTTGCCAAAACTCACCGGATTAATTTCGGGATTTCATTTGGATTTGGGGGGGGGCGATCTTGGCCACCGGTCGACCTCCTACTACCTTGCGCCGGGGGGGTCCTTCATCAGGAGTTCCCATTATTTCTATTACTATTCTTGTTACTCTTATGACCATTATCATTATTGTTATCCTTATTATTATTATCACTATTATCACTATTATTACTACTATTCTTCTTCTCATTATTGTTAATATTATTCTTATTATTCCTACTATATATGTACACATACATACATACATACATACATACATACATATTTCCTATTTAAAAAATTTGACTGAATTTGTTCTATGGGTTTAGCATGGTTTAGCTGCGGTTCCGAGATGACCATCTCTGTCAAACATACCACGGCACAGAGAGCTTACCCCGTCTCTCCCAGTCTGCCAACACTACCGCTTAGAAGAGTTTTCCCCTGTAGTTCAGGGTTTAGGGTTTAGCGCCCTGTAGTCCACATATCTTTTCACCCCCGAAACCCCATTTTCAGCAAGTAAAAAGCCCCTCGCAGGTACCCAGTGCCTTAGAAGTCCAGGCAAAGATAGGCAAACACAATACCCCTTAATTTAAGGAAAAGAGCTTAAACCATAATATTAAGGTCCCTATAATTTAAGATAATATTCCTTAAGTAAGGGGTATTGGGCTCTCTGGGTACCCTAGAACGTCGAGGCAGGGACTCGCTGGTAGCCTTGCCCCGTGTCTGCCAGCTGGTACTGGTGCTCATCGTCAAGGAGGTCCTCTGCTGGGGTCATCGAGCATCTTATGCGGAACTTCTGAGCATGCAGGGTCCCTAATTCAATCCGAGGTTTTTTGGATTCCAACTCAGGAGTCACTCAGGAGTCTTGGAATAGGGATCCCCTTTCCGACTCTTGAAGATCTTTTGGTAGGAGAAACTCCCAGGGCAAGACTCCTTGCATCCGGCCAGGCGGCCGCCAAACCCAACGGGTAGGACAGTAGCGTTAGAGCTTCAGGGCTTTGGGATTTTTGTAAGCTTTAGGGCTTCCGAATGACGGTTCAGAGGTAGGATTTATGGATGTTCTTCTAGGCTTTTGGTCAGGAGTTTGGTGGAGCGCCTCTTCGGCAATGTGCCAAAGTTGGAACATGTTGTCCAGAACCTGCACACGAGAAGGCGAACCGGCGCACCAGCCCTATCAAATCTGGTCACATCGCAGCTTGGCAAGCAAATTCGATCGTGTGCACCATTCGCGACACCTGCAGCCTCGGATTAGATGACTGGCCACTTGGACAACTTCCCGACGAGCTGCCGTGCCACGGCCCTGCCTCCCTCCAGAGCGCCATCGACTGCAGCACGAAGGTGTACTGGCGGCTATGTGGATGGGACAAGCCTCGGAAACTGAGGCGCTGAGTGCCCCAGCAATTCGAGAGCAGTTCTCAGTCTCAGCCGAGGGGATTTCGGGGTTCAGGGCACAGGACAGCAGATTTTCAGATTGTCCTGAGCTTGGTGCGCGCCCCATTGACACCCTCTTCGATGGCCAAGGAATACCTCTCGGGGCAGCCCCATGCACGATCTCGCTAGGTATCCCGATTGCATATACAGGTCCGTCCATCCATCCATCCA